AGGAGGAGGAGGAGGAGGAGGAGGAGGAGGAGGAGGAGGAGGAGGAGAAGATTCGTGTACCTACACCATGGCATGTGCAGAGGTCAGGGACAGCTTTGTGGAGGTGGTTTGCTCCTTCCACCTTTATGTGTGGTGAGCACCTCTACCTGATGACCCATCTAGTGGAATCTACAATAAAAACCTTAAAACAGCTGACATTTTTTTTTTCAACAGACATGGCTAGAATGAAGAACTTTCAATCAAGCATTTTGGATTTCAATTGAAATATTGTTCCCTCTGCTGGCAGCAGATTAAATACCATCTCAAAGATGATGCTCAGTGTGCTTTGGAGACAGTCTGGAGGACTAGGTTTTTGGAAAATCTTTTTGTTTTTGTTCTTTTCTGATTTACAAGTAGAAGAGAAAAATAGATAAAATTTATTTTTTGCCCAAATAAAAATATTTTTATATATCTTTCATATTTGTATAAAATAATGTTACCTTATGACATTTAATACATTACATATTATACATTCATCATTCTCAGTACCTTATCATAGTAGCTCACAGGTAGAATAAAAAGGGAAATGAGAAAAAAAGAGGGGTAGGAAGGAAGAAGGAGGACAACAAGAGGGAGAGGGAGAAGACAGGGATAAATAACACTAAGTATTGATAAAGCCAAAGGGAAACATAGAAATCATATTATTTTTTTGTGTAAAATTACATCTTGCATACATACATATGTACACACACACACACACACACACACACACACACACATAAAGTTATGCCATTATGGGTGATCCAACAAAATCCCAGTACCAAGAGATGGCCAAATAATATGGGCTATTGTCGTTGCTCTTGCTTGCCTCTAGGAATTGAAGGCAAGGTTCTGTTGCTGAAGACACCACACACTTTGGACATAGGACTTGAAGCAACTGAATGGAACTGACATGGAAGCCCTCTCCCTCAGGACTATCTCTTAAAATGCTAGAAAGTGTTATGCAAGCAAGCTGTCAAGGACCTACTCAGCTGTGATGCTGGAAAGCACAACAATAACCAACATAGCAAGATATACTATCTTGGTAGTGACTAATAGCTTGGTCCAACAATAATTGGATTTATGGCCTGACTAATAGGAGGGAAATGTCTGGTACAGTAATTCTAGCCAACTACCCATGGTAGTCTATATAAGCAATTAAATGGACTCAGAAGATTGCATTTACATAAAGATGTATGTATGTAATATGTAACAATATTTAATATGTAACATATATAATATGTAACAATAAATAATTAAAGAAAAGAACAAGTTAGATAATATATGAAAGCAGGAGGGCTTAGAGATGGGAGAAGTGTTGCAGGATATTTGATCCCATTGTGAAGCCTGAAATTGTGAACTGTAAAAAGCTGTAAAAAACTGTTTCTAATTGTGGCTCAGTCTTTCTGTTTACTGTAAAAAAGTACTTGTGGCATGGCTCAGCCCTAGCACACACCTTTAATCCAAGAGCTTTCTGTAAACAGGATTAAAT